ACAGAAATTGAAAATCCAAAAATTTCTAAGTATTTCTGAAGTGAAGGGCACGTTTTTTTTCATTTAATGGCCAACGTGTGAATGAAATCCTGCTCAGCGCGACTGTCTCCTTGCTGAACAAATAAATCTCAGCTCTCTGCAGAACACGGAGGAGAAGAGCACTTTGCCTAATTAAGGACAACGCGGTGGGGCTATAGACCAGCCCTGGTGTTAATGTGCTGAGCTCAATTATCTGCCCATAAGGTCACATTCTTAAATTCTTTTTTATCTTGGTATTGCACATTACTCAGCATAATGAGTTGAATATTGGTGGGAGTTACAGACAGTACATTTACACTAATGAAGCAAAATTACCCTGAAATTGCATTTTCTTTAATTTCAATCGCAAAACTTTAAAATAAGGTTGAAACCGATGTAATAGATGAAAGTTAATACACTTAGAAGTTTATTAAAATAGGCTAAACAGTCTGGTTTATATGAAGTTTTCGATGTAGTTCCATTCATGAACCCTTTACAGTCCTACAGTATTACCTCGCCACAGGAAGAATCAAGTTCAACCCAAGATTTTGGGTGATGTTCCCCTGGTGTTGAAATAGCCACAGTTCAGCTACACTTGTAAACCAACAAAACCAGTAGCTTATTGTGACTGTGCACTAACCACATGCTGCAACAGCCTGCCGAGATTTGCAGTACAACTCCAAGGACCCCCACAGCAGAGGGGATCACACTGTGTTTATCCTTACATTTGTGGCCAAGCCATCCTCTTCCAGCTACAGCAGCAAGCGACGGATTTCTTCCTGACAGTAACACTGCACCTGTGTAACTCAAAGCTTCAAAGGGCCAGGCGTGGCAAAACACATACCAGAAACAAGGTGATGGTGCTACCCCATCCCAGTGAGTCTACTCCCTGAAGACAAAGACTCCTGCAGCTCAGATGAATCAGAGCATGGAAAAACACATGTAGGTACTGGGAGCGCGGTGGCCGTGGCGGTTGGGGAAAGGCCCTGGCTTTGGCTCGCTGCCTCCAGCAGGCCAGGAGATGGCCGGGAGCTCTTTGCTGCCTGGTTAGGAGGCCAGATGCTGACTTCTCCCTGATAACACAGCAGCCGTACTGGGAATACTGCCATAAACTAATAAGGATTAGACAATGAGGCAGCAAAATGAGGTTTGGGGTTCGTTACCTAGAGGTGAAGAGCCTTGTCTTCATGGGAGCTCCTGATGGTGGAAAGAATGACAGAAAATGGTCCTGTGTTAGTTACTAGCAGCAGGATTGAGCCTCAGGGTCTCCAAGTCAGAGTGGGGAAAAGCAAAAGTGGCGTTTCAGTACCTGTTTTGGATTTGCTAGTGAGTGGATGTAAGAAACTCACCATCAAGTCTTTCTCTTCACCTCTGCTTTGCTATACAACAGGTCTGCCTTAGCTCTCCTTTCAGCACTATTACATTTTGCATCAGGAAAAAAATGCTAATAATTTGTATCCATCAGTGCAAGCTTGCCTTCTGACAGGGAGTTTTAATAACTGGCTGACTCCAAGGAGATAGAGGAACTATTTATCTCCATATTTTTAAATAAATCCCATTCTCCCCATCTCACCCCCTGCCATTGCAACTGCTCTAGAAGTGTCTAAACGGTGAGGTGAGGTCATTTAACAGCAAGACAACTTTTTTTTTTTTGTTACTGCTCTTGCCAAAGGACAAGAATGAGCTTGTGTTCCTGAGTGGAGTCATGTATCCGATTCATCCCAGGTGTCAGACATCTGCTGCTAGCTCTGCAGCTGGCTTTGTTAAGATGCAAGAACCAGCAATGCTCTCAAGGAACAGCTTGAAACAAACCCTCAGCACCAACCAACCTAAAACAGAAGCAACTAACAACCTCTGGGGCTTCTGGAAGACAAGAAAAACTCTGCCTCAGCAGCACATCCTTCCCCGGCCCTCCCCCAGTGCAAAGCTGCGACTGTAGCAAATCCGATCCATTACAGACACTTTGCTTTTCCAGGCAGGACTGGAGCAACGTCCTCAGCCTACGGTCAAGGCAAGCAACGGCGTCCGCGCCGCTGTGCTGCAGCCACCGCCCTGTGCTCTGCTCCTTCCTGGGGACCAAGCCTCCAGTGGTGCTCTGTGGCCTGCTTTCCCAGATGCCACACAAAGCGATTGGGGAAAGCAACAAAAGAGTTTATTAACACCACCAAAAAGATTAGGAAATAATCTCTAGGCCTGGATTTACATGAGATCAGAAAGTGAAACGGGATCTGAGTTAGCAAGGGGGAGGGGAGATAGAAACTGCTTCTGCAGACCAGAGCCATTTGACGAGAACATTTGGTTTTAAATAACCAAATGATTTCTGAAAGTAAAATGGTACAGGGACTCATAACTCAGCTGTATGGTGACAGCCTTCCCACAGCCGCTGCCTGCAATGCCTCTGACATGGCTCCTTCAGCAAGAATACCATAGGCTGCCTGGGAAAAAATTACAACCTGCAAACTCAATCCACTGCTAGCTCCTGCACTTCTTGTGGTAAAATGGGAACAATATATCCTCACAGGTAGCACGTGGAGACATAAAGCCCAAACACTTGTTCACATTATAGCCATCAGCGACCCTCCTGGAGGGGGCTGTTACGAGGCCACTGGGAGAGCTGCGATATAAAGACCTGAAGGCCAAGTTACAGGAACAGTTACTGAGACCGGCTCAGGATAATCACACCAGATTAAGCTCTTCCCTTTCAGAGACACATGTGTCTCTCTCCAGTAGTTTAGCAGTTTACTTATGTCCATTATGAACCCAAATAATGAAACCCTGCACGCTGTGTTGTGCTTCACTGTGCAGAGGCGAAGAGGCAGAAAGCAGGGCTGCTTCCTGAACGCGACTGCTGATGATTTCCTGAATCCCCGCCACAAAAGCCACAGGAAGCTCCCTGAAGAGACAAACCTGCACCTCATCCCCAGCAGCAAGACCTGCCTAGATCCTCTCAAATAAAAGATACAGTCATCGTTACAGTAATCTCCCACCACAAATCATTGCATTAATGGCTCAGGTCAGAAGAAGGACATTTGTACGCTGTTCTTCTCACCATTTCCAAATGCCACCAAGCAACAAAATGCAAGTAGGAGATCAGCAGTGCCCTGTACCCTTCGCTCAGGGGTCTCACTTTCCCCTCCAGAATTATCTGCAATACCTTCTTTCAACAAGCAACAGGGCTGAAGCCCGTATCTCAACCTGAACATCCAGGAAGAATTTGTGCATCACCTCCCATCCTGCTGCAAAGGCTGCTTCTCTGTATTTCCTGCTCATTTGAGATGACACTGTTCTAAAAACTTTATCTCAAATTGTATTATTCTGCTGAGAAAAAGGTAAGAGTCTGGGCTGGTTCTGCAGCACAGAATGCAGTGTTAGCCCCAGGACTCTAAAGGCTGCTCCTTCTTGAGCCCGTCACCAGAACTGCACAGAATCTCTAAGGAGCCAAAGCCCCCCAGTAGGTGGTCACAACAGCACCTTAACCCCCTGCTCAAGTGCCACTCACAGATCTATCAGCACACAAAGACAGAACACCTACTTCTGAAAGCAGGAACAATTTGGTAAGTTTGCCAAGTACTTGGTACATTTATCAGATTCTGTGATACTGGTTTTTAAAATTCACTCAAAACAGACTCAGAGTTGCATTATGCAAAGATAATAGCTCACTTTTTGTGCTCTCAGGACTGCTGAAAAAAAGCTTGTCAACGTGAATAATTCAGGTTCATAATTCTGCTTACTTAACTGTTTCCATCCCAAGTCAATACCTGGCAACAAGGGGGAATTTTTCAGAGAAGCCACACCAGCCTGCTGTAACCATGCAATCAAGCATTTTCTTCTCCAGTATGCCAATACACTGCTAGACACACCTTTCCTCCATTAGATATGCTGCAGCCCCATTTTCCAAAGGCCTCCATCTTCTGCATTCAGTTTGTTTCAATTATTCAGGGCAACCCAGGCTGATAATTACACAGTCCCGAGTTGCTGAGTAAAACTGATGCTTAATTAGCCAGCAGGAAAGATCGATTAAGATACAGCAGGGCATCTTGCAAAGTTCTTCAGTGGGACTGCAGGGAATAGAATCTGGCTGTGCCCTTCCAAAGGATAAAATTCTCTGCATCTCAGGGATTTGACAGCAGTTTTATTTAAACTGGATGCTTATATCAGTCAGCCACCCTGAGTTTTATTGTCAGATCTTAACTTCAAATGACACAACTCATATCTTTTAACTAGAGCATTAACAGCAAGCTCTATATCACATTTCTAGCCAAAAATACAATGCAGCTGAGGCTGAAAGTTTTATTTAAGCCTCCAGCAACATGTTTTCCTGTTTTATGTTCCTTGATTTTCCCTGAGCATGACAGCACCTCCTTTGTGTGCTTCACTCATATCCAAATGACGCAGCTCACACTCTCCTTGAAGGTTTGAACAGTCCTGGGGACAGGAGATTTTGGAACCCAGTTCAGACCCAAGTTTTAACTTGGAAAGCAGTCTTTCTTCCTTTTTACTGTATCAAAGTACAGGTAATGCCTGTTTAAGGTCAGGAGCCACTTGTGAAATAGATACTTTCAGCAGCAAGTCAGCAGCATGAGCCTTTGCTCACTGTATTGATTTATCCAGGTGCCTAAGTATCAAGCGATGAATTTTCTTCCACAAAATCCTGTCTAGCACAACGGAGAAGGAAGAACAGGAGATCAGTTTGCAAAGAGCTGTACAGACACAGCCCAAAGCAGAATTTTTACTCTGAAACACAAAAATTCCAAGGACAAGCAATGACAACTCTGCAGACAGCCAAATGTAACTGGCTAGCGTTAAATAGGAGGGTGCACAAACCAGTATGTGCTGCACTCACATTATAACAAGCCCTGAATGCCCATTAACTTTCAGAGCACAGGCCAATTATCCAATTATTTGAATGCAGCATGTGGTACCTCAAGGTTTGGCACTATTCTGAAGCACTTCCATTGGCAAGTTATGCAGACAATACATACCTGGCTTTGACTTGCTGAAAGCTGAAGAGAATTGCATCTCTCTGCTCCCTTGCATTAGGGCTCAAGTTTTCATTCTGCAGTCCATCCGCCAGGTAACATTCAGCATCTGGTAGAGAGAAAGCTACAAGTTAAAACCACAGGCAGATACCCGTTCTTGGCCAAGAAACACGGATCTGAATACCCAATGCCTTCCACACGCCACTCTGCTACCACAAAACGTAAAAATATGCTGCTGTGAAAGGCTTTTGGCATTAAGTAATGTCATTCACAGGACCCAAAGCACTTCTAATATCAGGGTAAGGTATCCACCAACACTTAATGCAAATCCCAACCTGTGGCTGGGTTTCACAAAGTCACTTTTGGCAAGAGACAAGTACTGAACAACAGGTAGGTTGCACTAGCCTGCAGGTACTTGTATCACATCTGCAAGGCTATCGCCAAAACAAAGTATGTGCTTACTCTGCAGACAGTTGGACAGAAGTAAATACGGTATTCGCTCACTTGGAAAGTGAGGAATGTATATGTAGAAATATATGTAGATGTAGAAATTTAACCTGAACTGGAAGAGATGAAGTCCCTTCTATTCACATGAATATTTGCATTCTTTACAGAAACCTCAAAAAAGTCTTAGAAAATAGGACAGTTCCAATCATAGCTGCTCTGTAGAAGAGAATGTCCTCCTTGTACTTCAGCAGCTTTACTGAAAACTTTCCCTAGCAAAGACTGTCTTCAAAACTATGGTGCTGTACATCCACAGGCCTCTCCAACCTTTAATTCACACTCCATACTGTGACACTAATGTCAGTTTAATATCCTGCTTGCAAGACTTTCAGCTCCTTATGCTTCAGCTGCTAGTACAACAGCCAGCACTGTTTAGTACACCCCAGGAATCTTCACAGCTCCTTAAACAGCTCCTCCACCTGCAAGCACACTCAAGATCAAAAATGCCACAGTAGAAATAAATATATTTTTCTGTTAAAGTCATGAGCCCTTATTTTTGTCACCTATAACAAACACAAGAAAGGCTTAGAGCTTGAGGGAAGAAAAAACAGTTCTTTAAAGTGAAGAGCTTGGGCAAGTACAGAGCTTGCTCCGTGCCCAGTCATGGAGTGGAACAAGGCCAATGCACGGGCACCTCCCCAAGAACAGGGGCCTCTTCCCACCTGGTCCTCAGTGCTGCACAGGCAAGACCAGAGAGACTGAGCTCTGAACACAGCAGCCTGCAGAAGGAGGAGTGAATCCAAATAACACATTTCCACAACACTCCTGTTCTTGTTTCTGGGTTTGTTCAGCTGAAAGCACCAGTTTCTAAGGAAGCGATCACTAATAAGCACATTTCAGCCAAATTCAGACTCCTCTAAGTCCCCACCAACTCCTTCGGCTGTCTCCCTGCCTTCCCTCATGCCAGGAGTGCTCTTGACCCACAAGAACTAGGTCTGAGCCAGCTGTGCCTCATTATCTACGGCCCCACACTACAGCCAGCACTTTACAGCCAAGAAACAGAGGCTAAAGCCCACATAGAGCACTGAGGATATCAAAGTGTCCTAGCACAACCCTGCTGACATGGGCATGCACAGTTGTCACAGCTCTGCTGATGGGCAGGGACACCAATTCACAGCACTGCTCTCGAACCCACACCTACAGCCAGCAGCAGTGTTGACCTGACATGTCTGGACTCCTGGAGCTCCCAAAATGCACATTAATATCAAGTTCCCTGCTAGTACTTTAGCCCTGGGTGGCCCGCCTGGGATCACACAAAAGCTTTGCTAGAGCAGCTGAGCAAAGCTCTTTAAATCCCAGGCCAATCCTGTAATCCTTAGGCTAAATTTAATTTTCAGTACATCTCCTTGCAGTTTTAATTGTACACCCAAGATATAGTACCATCTTACGACAAGCCTAACACTGCTGGACTTGCACCACTTACACACCGCATAGAGAATAACCAAGCACAGTACAAAGGACAGACCCATCTTTCTCCGAGAAGCTTACTATAAGAACAGATGGAGGCTAAGGGAACAATTTATTATATACAAATCTGCTTTAAAACTGCACAGCATAAATGGGCGCATTTCCACAGTCAATGAGAAAAAAACAAGAAACACAAACTGCCCCCAAAATTTGGGCAAATATCGGTTGCCTCTCTGTCCTTTTTAAACGTAGATTAGCTCCACGAGTATGTGATTAGCTCTAATATGGCATTTACTTACCATGATGTCAGCACAGATCGGCTGCTGGATAAGTTATAGTAGAACTATGGTCACTCCTGAGAGCCAGGCAGAGCCCCTTTCAGAGCCAGCCACTATGTTTATAGCACCAGGAAATGAAAAAGAAAGCCTAACCATAAACTCTCAAAGTGGATCAGGAAGAGCAATATGTAAGCAGCTCTAGAGTAAATCACCCTAATGTTAGTTTTACTGCTTGTCAGTAACATTATATTCTTGATGTTTATAGATTGCTCTCTGTGATCCACTCTGAAAGTTTACAGGACTCTCCTTTTCGTTTCCTGCAGCTAAAAAGGTGAGGTGAAAAGAAACAGTTGAAATTTCATCAAGTGTTTCAGGAGGGTTTTTAGAAGCAATTGCAGATAGCCACTTTAATCCTGCAGGCAATGCACAATATTGTAAGAATTATGTCACAACTGCTGAAGTCCAGGCAGTAAATAACCTTTTAATGGCAGCACTAAATTCTAGGAGTTAATCAGCACTCAACAAGGAGAGCTGAAAGATATTTAGATGCCATGTGTATTCTCTCTGTGCACACACAAACATTTTTTTAATTTTTTTTTTTGCTCTTTTCTACTCATTTGCCATCAGAAGGCCAACAACAGAAAACCTAAACACAGAGGAACAGGTCCCCCTGACCCACAGCACTGCAGCTATGTAAATTAATCCTGAGCTAACCGATCTGCTCCGATGCTTAGCTTCACACAATTTCTGCTGCAGTTTACCACCCCAGGCGGCTGTGGAAAAAAAAAAAAAAAAAAAAAAAAAACAGTTTAAAAAAGTTTATGGCACCTATCAACACAGAGTGCAGATACCTTAAGCATCCATGAAATTGCATTAATATTTCCAGGATGCTACCCAAGACAGCCAGGGGTTTGGAACAGTAGTTGAGTCATCCCTTGTCCCGCTTGTCCAAATAAAAGCTGTGAGCTATCACACTTTTTTTTTTTTGAAACTTTTCAGCAAATTAAAGAACGTATGGTTTAACTGTGAACAAACATTTTCAGATGAATATTCTTACTTTTACAGGATCAAGTCAGAAAACCTTTAGAACCCAAGCAACATTCCTACACCATCCTGCAATGGGCTGAATGGGACATTCTCCCCCACGCAAGAGACAATCACAGAATGAGAGTGGCTGGGTTGGGAGGCACCTTAAAGCTCATCCGGTTCTGATCCCTTGCCATGGGCAGGGGCACCTCCCACCAGAGCAGATTGCCCAAAGCCCCATCCAGCCTGGCCTTGAGCACTTCCAAGCATGTGGCATGCACAGCTTCTCTGGGCAGCCTGTTCCTGTGTCTCAGTCCCCTGAGAGTGAAGACTCTCTTCCTAATATCTAATATAAACCTACCCTCTTTTTGTAGAAAGCTGTTACCCCCTTATCCTATCCCTACACTCCCTGATAGGGTCCTTCTCCAATGCAGGAACTGAGAACAACTTCCCAAATTTGCAGCGTCCAAGTCTCAATGCCAAGTTCCCTGATATTTAAGTTCTGGGCCCACTCATGATGCTACATCAATGCTGACTGAGGCTTATTAGCCTTCGCAAAGCAGAACATTTTATTGTTTATTTTTGAAACAGCATTGAGGCATCTCGCCTTGCTATCAGCAGCTACCAGCTTTGTTATGCTTTGCAGGTGCAGTCAGTCTCACAGTACAGCATCTGTTCCATCCTTCCTGCTGCCCAAACTCCAGCAAGAAAATGGCATTCCAGACCTACTACCTGAGATGAAGAGGATCAGTCAGGGCAGGTGAAGGGAGAAAATAATCAGACTGCCAGATTGCCTTTGCTTCTGCAAAGAAAAACAGAAACCCTGGATTTGTCAGAGATGTATCACATTTTTAAGAACCATTGTTTTAGCCTTCAGAAGAAATCTGTGCTAAACAAACATGGAATATCCTTAACAATAGTAGTTTTAAAAGGGAGTTGAGTGAGCCAAAATTGAAACCCCATGCAATTAGGAGGCAACATAGTGTTAATAAGAACTTGGATTGCTTATGTTTGATGTGGAACAAAGTAATAGTTGTTACAACCACATCTATTCATAAACATAAAGTAAGAATTCATAAGTGTTGCAGGATTGCAATGTAGCCATGAAATAGCCATAGAGTTTGTCTTTCAACCACTGCAACCTCAGAGATGTCTCCAGTGATAACAGCATAAAAATTACTAGCTAGCCATTGACCCCGTTTATTGGGCATCATGCATACAGTCCTGCACTATATGCACCAAATGATAATATAAGGAAGCAGATATTATTGCCTGTACAATAGTACATGTTTGCTCTTCAAGTTTTACCTTTTACTTTAAATTCAAGAACACTTACGGTAACACAGTTTCCAAACGCTAACAGCTTAAGCTCCTTCAGCCCCAGCTGGCATAGCAAGAAACCTCCTTAGCCACTGGAAGGCCTCAAGACTGTATATATAGATTGTTAAGACACAGCAAGTTTGATACAGGGGTATGTGACATGCAATTAATCTCCATTCATAGCCTGCTATACTTGTCAGCAAACAAAGGCTGTGCTTTAGAAGGAGATCTGAAGCCTTCAATTAAAAACAGTCAGCTAACAAGAAAATAATCTAAGTTAAAGGAAGGTGGCAGGTGCAGAAATGAGTTGTTTACAGAAGTGTCAGCACTGAACAATAAAGTGCTGCACATCAAAAATGTGAAAGGGTGAACTTCACTGAAGGCCCCATGATTAAAAAACAGAGGAGAAAATTTATACCTACATCTGGGGGAAGACACAAAGCATTTGGAAGTGAGCTTTGATGGGCTCGGAGACTGCGCGCTTGCTCTCGGACTGGCGGGTCCCAGGACTGGAAGGCACCCCCACCCCACAGCGAAGGGGAGCAGTGCTCTGCGCTGTCAGGAGCCGCTGCAACAGGAAACGAAAGGCCACAACCCACTGAGGCAGACCGGGCTCAAACACAACTGCTCAGAGCTGTCGAGCAGGAGCACACCAACAACTCCTTTGCCACCGCCCACCCGCATCCGCGGTGGCAGGATGCGTCAGAAAGGCGCACATGGTCAGCAACGGGCTGATGCTGCTGCAGCTCAGGTTTATTTATGGGGAGGTCAGCGAGAGTCAACAGGGCAGGAGAAGTCAACATGTGAATGGAGGTGAGCGTGACAGGTAAGGCAATACTGCAGAGTCAAAACACTGACCCTGAGTACAGCTTCCCCCGTTTGTGTAAATCCTTCTCACAAGACACCAAAGAAGCAGTAAGCAGTTATTCAGTCACAAACAGTAGAAAGGGAACTCGGAGCTCTAACGACTTACAGCTTTTTGTTTCTTCCCCATAAGAAATAAAAATGAAAAAGCCAAGCTCCCTAAACAAGCACAGCCTTGAGGCTACAGGTTTGTGGCAACCCTTGGGGCGCCTAGGCCCGAGCGGGGAGGTGGAGCCAGAGGTAGCACACATGGAGCAGAACTTGTGGGAGCCGCTCATGCCTGTCCCAAGGGCTAACGCGGCCACCTCTGCAGGGCAATCCTCCCACCAAGCCCTCCCGTACCCTGCTGCAGGGTCACCAGTAGTTGCAAAGGTCAGCACAGCATCCACTCAGGTTTGTGAAGCGCAGTTTTACAGATGAATTTTTTTGGCACTGTTTCTGCTCGGCTGACCCACCTCTTCAGCGAGTTGGGGTGTAACAGCTCGAGTTTGCAAAGAAATCAGGAAAAACAACCTCAGAAGCCACCCGCGTACCCTCCCGTGGGCACGCCGTGCTGTGTGCCGTCAGCTCTCAGCACGGCTCAGCGGGCGCTGGGGCCTCGGGAGGTCACCTCCACGTTACCACGCAGAAGCGGGGCCCGAAGCCAGCGCTGCCCTCCCAGGCTGCGCCCCCCTCTGCGCTGGGCTCGGAGCTCCCCCGAGGACCCGCGGCCAGCTCGCCCTGCGCGTCCCCGGGGCGACGCTCGGCCAAAGCCTGCCGGGGGCTCGCCGCAGCACCCGGGTTTCTTTTGCCCCCCCCCGTCGCAGCGGAGCCGCTCGGTGCCGGCGGTGGGCACTCGCTGGGCACGCCCGGCTCCCCGAGCCGCCCCCCGCGGGCCCGCCCCGCGCTCGGGCTCCGGGCCCGCCGAGGGCTCCCCCGCAGGGCCCGGCGGGCAGCGCGAGGCCGGCCCGGGGCGCGGGGCGGGCGGCCGCAGCCCCGGCCCCGTCGGCGGGGCGGCCCCGCGGGGGCACGGGGCTCTACGGGCAGCAGCTGCCACCTGCCCCCGCCGCCCTCTGGGGCTCGGCACGGCGCGGCCCGACGGGGCTTCGGGCTTCTCCCCCGGCAGCGGCGGGGCGAGGAGCGCCGGGCGGTTACCTTCCAGGAGCCTCCGGACCTCCTCTGGGAGCATGGTCCCCGCCACCTCCTCTCCCCCGGGGCCGGCCCCGCCGCCGCCGCCCGCGTCCCTCCGGGGCAGGGACCCAGCGCGGCAGGAAGCGGGGGCGGGGACACCCCGCGGGGGGCCGCGGGTACCGGGCGGCCCCGCGAGCACCTGCCCCGAGCCTGCCCCGAGCCTGCCCCGAGCCTGCCCCGGGCCTCCCCGGACCCGCCGGCGCTGGGGGCGGAGGGCCCGGGCTGCTCGGCAGCGAAGCTTCCCCCTCCCCGCATCCCGCCCGGGAAGGGGGCTACATCGGCCCTGAGCCGCGGGGCAGCCGTGCGCCTTTCTGCGTCTCGCCCGGAGAAACAGCGGGGGGCTGCGCGCGGTGACGGGCTGCGGGACGGGCAATGAGTGCGACCCGCGCCCTACAAAACAGAAAGGGCATTGCATTAGACTAACCGCAGTCCTACACCTGCTCCTCTCCTAGAGAAATGAATTAACAGAGCCTGGCTATGGGGATGCCGCTATAATTTCTCATCGTTGCAGTCCCAAATTTTAAGTTCTACGCTCACAAAACCAAACACAGCCTTCTGTATCTGAAGCTCATCAGCGATTCCAAGTTTGAGATTTCCGACGTGGTAAGAGCAGAGGATCCAATCCTTGCTTTGGAGCGTCCTGGTACCAAGCAAGTTATTTATTTTTGCAGCATGTGGAAAATGCCATTCTGAACACTTTCAGTTGATTGGTACAAATCAGATAACGAGCAGGCATAAGATGAAGCAAAGTGCTTTGTGGTTTTGGTTTGGGGCATGTGTGCCTGCGATTCTATTGTTTTCTGCACTGCAGACAGTGGAGTGAAAGAAGAAAACCCCTAAAGCAACTGCAAAGTTCTTCTGTGTCTTTTTGGTTGAAATATGTAATTTTATGCCTGTGGGGCAGCACCTCAGTAACTCACATATAAATAACGGTTGTCAGAAGGGATGGCTTTAAAGGAGGAGTGAAGGCACCGTGACAAGAGGCATGTTTAGTGTATGCAGCTGATTTACTGGAAAAGTGATGTTGCGCTGTTTTCTGTGTATTGAGTCTCTTACAGTAGTAACGCTGAAGTGACAGCTGCCATTTTGGGTTTAGTCACAAAGAAGACAAGACACTGTGTTTTCCATCCTGCTCAGGAAGGTTTGATTACTCTCCGGATCTGGGAAACGAAACACACCACCACTTCTGATTTGTCACATGGCTGTGTTCTGCACATGCGTGTGATTTCAGAACAACCTGCAGACAGACTGGACGTTGGCAGTACCACTCAAGACCTTACAAGTTTCCTACTCTGAGTGTGAAGTTCACTCCGTTTCTGTCCTTTCCCCTTTACCTTCTATACTGCTGTGTGAGTTTGCACACACTGACAGCAATGCTGCAGCGTAATCTTGATTTTGCCATGTACAAGAACTTGTTCCGCAGCGGCACCGAATGCAGCACAGGAAACATTGCTGCAGTTCAGAGGGCTTCACAAAGGAGATTGCCTTGCTGGAATGCATATACATCACAGTAGTCTTCCCCATTACATCTCCTAGTCAGGTAGTGTTTCATGAGTCAGGATTTAGAAAACTGAGACTCTCCTAGGGGAGTGAAACGTGAATCTCTGTTAGCTGCCTAAGGCTCCTGACAGATTTGAATGGTTCTGATTGTATGCAAGAAATGGTGGCACGTGCAGGTGGATGTGTATGTTAGATGGATCTGTATACACGTTCTCACCTAGAAGCATATTTCAATGCTTCTGTGTAGAAATCCTCATTGGTTCATTACAGACTACAAATAAAAATCAGCTGATTGCTGAAAATGACTAACTTAAAAATGAGTTTGTAACAGAATGAATGAGGTCCCTTAGATGGAAGAAACTGCCTTCAGATATGCCAGAAAGATCGATAAAACCTAATCAATGCAAATCTCAGAGGAAGAAATGTTCATGCAACTGCGAAGAAAAGGATCATCTCACAGGTTCTCTGCATTTCTGTAGCTCACATAAAAGTCTGAAAGCATAAACTAGAAGATGGTCAGTGAGTCTTGCCCAAGAGTTAAACCAATTTATCATATTTAGGGTCTGGAGGAAATTATTCCCCACATCAAACTAGCAGTGACTTGTTTTGAAGGTGGTGGGGTTCTGCCTTCCTTTGCCGGGGATTTCACCCAATAAATTTACTGCTGTTGCAGTGTTTATGACATCAGTAAAGCTCCAGATTTTTTCTGATCTACTTCTGGGATGTATTGCTCCTGCGATTTTTGGTCTTTTCTACAGATCTGAAGGTTATCGTAAAGGCCTTGAATGTCGCATAAGGTGTAGATGCTAGCACTGTTGCACCCTTTGTGGTCTTGGACTATGCATACATCCATGGCCCTGGGAGCTGGAGGCAGAGCTCAGCACCCACGATGTTCCCTCAGGCCCTTTCTGAAGATCTTGTTACAGCTATGTTTACCAGGCATCACATAGTGTTATTATTTGTTAATAATAATAAAACATTTTTCTCATTAAATCCATTTTACTGAGGAATACTGAGGCACAGAGTCCCAACTGCTATGCAGGTGTACGTGCTGTTACTCAAAGTCTTAGCACTGTGCAATTGCCCAGCCAAGCCTTCTACCCAACCTTAGTCAGCAGCAGATAGAGCCAGGCAGACTGATTCCCAGACAAATGACCTTTTTGTTTTGTTTTCTTGCCACTTTCATTTTTGAATGTGTGAATAGGTTACAAATTTGGTATAGTGGTCAGCTGGGAAGAAGGTGAGGGAGTCTGGCACTGACTGGCAACTTCCACTGCATCATTCTTCTGCAGCATCAGGCTTTATGGGCTGTAGATGTAAAGCTGCCTCACTACATGATAAAAGCCCCACCTTAATCATTTTAGGTCTGAAGTTCAGCAGACAGGCTCTCTCCTAATGATATTCTGTTAAATGGACAAATTCCTTTGAAGGCTTGTCTTGCTTTGAAATCCAATTTCACAGGAAGCCAGATGTGGTTGGGTGTAGCTATGGAAACAAAGCAGGGCAGACTTAGAGGAGCTGAGCGATGCAAGGTAAAACGTGAAAGTCAGACTCCTTCACTGCACTGTCAGAAATATCAAAGGATCTGGAGAGGTTGGCAGGAGACGTGTCCCTGTTATGGGCTGTTCTGTGTGGCTGGGTACCAGCGCCTGTCAGTGGAGGTAAGCAGCCAGCTGTCCTGTCACACAGGCTGAAATGGAGCTGAATGCACAAAACCAGGGGGTGCAGACTCTTCAGTTCCCATCTGCCCTCTTCTTGCTCCTCCAGCACATTAGGATCTCAGCCTTCCCTTCTCTGCCATTCAGAAAGGTTAACAACAATAGGGTAATAAGGTTAAACCACAAAGCCCTGCCTGATAACAGCCCTTTCAAGCAGCTGCGCTGAAATTAATCTGAAACTTTCAGTAATTAGATAAGATAAGGATGTGTGCATGCTCGTGCAGGCACACACTGACCCTGGGACACACATTCTACAGAGGAGGTGGAGGACCACAGGCTTCATCAAACTGGATCAGGTTACTTGTTCATCTAGTCTGGTGCTGCAGCACTGAGAGTGCATTTCCAGCTCCTTTATTCATCTTGTTCGATATCCTTGGATAGTGTGCTGACTCGCCCTTTTGTCCTCCATTTCTGGTACTGTAGCTCCTGCCAATTCAGAGCAGACTCTAATGCATGCTTTTGTCAGAACAGATGCCAGTCCTCCCATTTCTGTATCACAGCTCCTGCCATTCCAGGTCAAATTGTTGGGCCACTGGGTGTCATTTGCTGCCTTTGACAGTGACCAACAACTAAGAAAAAAAGGCAACTTCCCAATCTGGTAATGCACCTGACTGCCTGAATAATTTCTCCTGGTGTACTCATCAGCTATGCTATGCCATGCTAATGCTCTGCTGTGATCCCAGAGTTAACATGCTTATGTCATTTTCATTACTCAACAGCTCATGTATCTTCTAGTGTGACTAAGTCATTCAGTTGAAGGTTGGTTACAGTCTTCATAAAGCCTCTTTCATTTTTTAAAGCTAAGCGGCCTTTCCTTGTCCTCATGATTTGATTCTGCACCCCTGCTTCACAAAGGCTTGCAGGTTACTGTTCATCAGTTTCTGAAGCCAATGAGAAACAAAAATATTCCAGCAGCTCTGAGTTATGGTAAGCAGATCTGGCCCCAGAGCAAAACTAAATGACTGGACCTTGCTCCTGGTTTGGAGCACCAGACTCCAGATTAATTTACCTTCCAGACATGCTGCATTTTCCCTGGTGTGAAGGCTTCTTGGAAGCAAGCAGGTGTGTTAAGATGTATCAGAGGATATGCGAATATGTAGACTGTAACTGTTTCTCATCACACCAACACATTAGTTGTAGGAGAACCCTACTGAAATGTTCTTCCTTCATCTCTATTGTGGAGATGGCATGAGACAAGCTGGTCCTTCTCCAGGATTACCCACAATAGTGGAGATGGTCTATAAGAGATGACAGCATGGAGGAGGCATCTCCTAGCGGCATGTTCTCAGAAAACATGTAATGCTGAAGCTGGAGGTGGGGAATGGATTACACCTAAGCAGGACACAGCTCCAAGACAGCATTTTCGTGTCCTCCTGAAAAAGTTTGTCAGTATCAGGAGGGAAAGGACACTCTGTAAAGAGAAGGATTAGAAAGATAGAAAGCCAGAAAAGAGCAGTGAGCTGGGCTCTTGTAGAGGCTGCTGTTCCTCAGGCTGACGGATGGGTTTCAGTTTAATGCAAAGGTGATATTGATCCCTTGCTGTTTGGTTACAATGTGTGATGGAGCTGCCCTCTGCCCTGTAGATGTGTTGTAGCACCTCTTCCCTTTCTCCCAATCCTCATCAAACTACTTTAATGACTCTTTTATTGACAACACTGAGTCTTAATGAGGAGGACTGCCACACACTTCATTAAGGCTGCAGAGGGGACACTTCCTATAAACAGCTAGGACCACGGGCAGCCATCAAGGCTGAGGGAGAAGAACGTAGTTAAGGCAGGATACAAAATTTTCTAGAGGAGGGAGAGATCTCCATTTGCTCCTGAGAGAAAACAAAGATTTAGGACAAAAGCCTGCATTATCTGAGAAGCAATGGTTTGAGGAAGGAGAGATCAGTCTTGGAGACGA